GGGATGGGGACTAATCGGGGACAGTCGGGATCTGGCCCCGGTGCGGGGGGGGCGCCCACTCCTGGCACGCCCTTATTGCTCCCCTGGGCCCGACACCACATTTCACACAACACTAGGGCTTTGAGGGGTGGTGGGGAGGTGCGCCGAGACACTGCTCCTCAATTTTTACTTGCATATTAGACACCACATGACACTAGGGCTGAGGAGGTGGGTTGAGGCAGGTGGTGCTCTGCTGTCTGCCAGCGGTGGGGTGCCTGTGCCTCGACTGCTCGCCCATTTTTTGCACTTTAGTCATATATACAGTCCATATTACATTAGGGCCTTGGGGGTGCGGGGAGGGGGATGGGGGACTCTGCCATCTGCCAGTGGTGGGGTCCTCATGGGCTTGATATTGTCCCTTACACACAGAGATTTCTTGAGATTTCTCTGCAGGTCTCCCTGTACGGGGGTTGGGCACCCCCTTAGTCCCTCGCGGGCTCCCTCTCGGGTTGGGTGGGTGGTTGTCTCGGGGACGCGTGGGCCTAACGGCATCAAATGGCAGCAAATCCAATGACAAATCAATTCACACCTACATTTGCACATACAACAATGGGCACATACGAGGTTGAGCGATCGATATCACCATTATTATTACTTTTTAGTGTATGTTATAGATATAGGAATTGAAATATATGTGTATATCAGTAGAATCACGTGTGTGTATGCTACATATATATAATACCTATTTGTAACATTATTATTATTATTATTGATATTGTTGTTCTTATAATGTTTGTTGTTTGATGTTCTTGTATTCTGTATTCCCCTACACTTAATTTTCTCCATCCCACCTACATTATTATTATTTGTGTATACCTTTGTTTTCTTTTTTCCTTTTTTTTTCTCTCCCCCTCTCCACATGGTGAGTAATGTCTGTTATTGTTACGATCGTTGTTTCTGTATCCCACCCCCCGTTTTTTTTATTTTTAATAATCACGGTACTAGGACGGGTGAGTTCGGAGCGGCCACACTCTTTACTCTTGAATTTAATGTAAAATAAAGTTGTCCTCCGAAGAAGGAGGGTGGTGGTGGGCAATGAAGAAGGAGAATAAAAGAATATTCAAAGTTGTAGAGGCATATAATCTTGTGTTTACGCTGATTCACGCTAAGTTTACTGTGTTCGGTATATCTACATTTACGAGTTATCTTAAAATTGAGTTGCACGTTTGCCAGATTACAATTAATTAGCTCATTAAACGTAGGTTTGCATATTGACTACTGTAAATGAATGTGCTAAATTGTACATTTCAGATTGACTGAACATCATTATAACTTAAGTAATAAAGCTGCTGTGACTCTTTTGCTACAAAGTTGAGTAACCTTAATTATTTTTTAGCATACCTTATGGACGTTATTCTCAAGTATGTTTTGTAAATGTTTTGTTCATGGAATTAAAGAAATAATTTCTTAAGTCACTGGACAGGTAGTGCGTTAAAAACGCCTACACCACCGCCTTACCTGGCCACGACGTTAAAGATGGCTGGAGAGCCGATACAATATTGTAGTGAGAAAAGGAGTAGGTCATAGTTGTTTAAGGACTAATTATACTCACCTGGGTTGGAGAGGGTGGAAATGTGTATAAAAGAGGGTGGTGAGTACTTGTGTGTGCGGCTGTTTTTCATATGTGGCATGATTTTGATGTGTAGCGGTGGTGGCACGGGAGGGTGCTGTTCGCAGGTTTTAGTGTCGCCAGCAGCGAAGATAGTTGAATAGGAGAGTTATTTGCCTGCTAGGAGGGGAAGGCTGGCTGCTTCCCTTAGATAGAGAGGGACCGGGGAGCAGTACAAGCACTTTGCCCCTTCTTTTTTGTAAGACTCCAGTATAACATTTGATCTGTCACAACGGTCGGACTTTCAAGTTACGCTTTGCATCCGGGTTGCAATGTATTGCTGGGAGAAACCAAGTTAGACCCCACAGGGGTGTCCCGTCATCGTTCAGTTAAATGGAAGTTTTATATATTGTTTAAATGGTTGTGTGTCTTTGTCCATTTGTTTTGTATGGTTTTAAGGTTGGGTGCTATGCTGGTGCTCCCCCAGAATTAACTTCCAAGCTGAGGGTGGCCTATTCCCCTTCTCCCGTGGAGTGTTTAAAGGTTTTTGTGTGCTGTGCCGTGGGGGGTGGAGTTTACTGCGCAGTGTTGACGGTAGATGTTGCTTTTTTAGTCTGTAATGCTGTACCTGTAGAGTGGTAGCTGCGCTCCGTGGGGGAGGGATGTCCTTCTAGGGAACTTGTTAGTGCCCAGTTTTAATGAGCTTTGCTGTTAATAAAAGTATTTCTTTGTCATCCCTGTGTGACGGATCTACTTTTCACTCTCTTTTAACAAAGTGTAATTCTGTTACACCTGCTTATGGGGAGAATTCTTCTGCTTCTGATACCGGACCATACCAGGGTAACAGGTGGTACAATATAATTGAAGGCACAATAGTTTATAGTGTAGAGTCAAAAGAAAACTCAATCTGTAGTTAAATCAATGATCTAAAGTGATATGTTGAAGCAGAGTTATGATTTCAACCTAGATTCCCTTTTTTCAAATTAGTAATTAATTCAATGTTATTTCCAGGTTGATACTAGGCCTTAATTTACCCATGTTGAAAAGTAAGTCATCTGAACAATGTTATAATATCAGTGCTGTTTTGATTTTCCAAATGAAAACAACTCAGCAGTGATTCAGCCTTGCTCCATAACATTCACCTGAACACTGTAAGAAACATAATGTGATATTCACAGTTACTAACTGGCAGCAAGTAACCAATAACTTACTGCTATAAAATACATTCTAGCTTTCCTGTATTTATAATTACAATATTGCTTTCTAACTGTAAAATAAAATCTTATCTGTATTTCAATAGTATTATTGATTGTAACACAAAATACTGCAGTGTTTTGATACTCTAAAGTTAACAGCAAAGACCAAATGCATCACCAAGATTTCTAAATTTCTAGAATTGAATTGAAAAATAATGTTCTTCATGAAAATACCTTATACCATGGTATAATGTACGTACAGTATGATGGTATGCAAAAGCCTAATGTCAATCCAGCTGCGATGTGAGAATTGCATGTGCATAGCTTGCAATGTAAATATTAACATCGCACATTACAAGTCTCCTTCAAATGCAGTCTAGAAATGTATGCTTTTTCTGCACCTTCCTGGTCCAACCAATCCCAAGATTCATTGCGTGGAGGTAAAGTGGGAGTGTCCCAGGCTAGGCCATAGGAGTGGTGCTGTGCGACAGAAGGGTATGGGTGGGAACACCTGGTGACGCAAATAGGAAATTATCCTTAGGCCAGACCATCCCATTTCCCAATGATTTCCATTCAACCATTGCAGAACACAGCCTACAAAGGCAACGCCTCCCTAGACCATGTCCTTTGAAGGATTCAGCTCCTGAATTCAGACACAGCTAATGACTACAGAAATACAGGATTCAGTTATTTATTCATAGCTGCACAAGAACGTAAGTGAAAAACACATTATAATCTAACATGAAATTTGCAGGCTTAAAACTCAGCAATTGCAACTTAAAATAAAAATTTAAGGATGCCCCGATGCTTATATTTTTTTTGTGATGACTCAGGATGTGATCATCACATCCGTCTCACCTTATACAATTCACATAAAAATTACAGAAAACACTAAAACAATTCTAAATAATAAATTCTTCTTCACTAACAGTGTAACACTGAACAGTTCTTTGTTTTCAATGCTGTTAATGTCTTCACGAAACTGCTTGCATCTCAGCAATTTCCTCAGTTACATCCACCATGTTCCTCTGTGTCCATGAACAATAAAACGTGATGTTGAACATTTACATGGACTCTTTTGGGATGTTTTACCACTACTGTCAATGGGCACCAGGTGTGGCTTGTTATGCCATGCCAGGAAGAAAGAACAGGAGGGGTGTGGCAACAGGATCGGTATGACATGACAGTAACCCCCCCCCCCATGCATGCCCGGCCAGCTGGAGAGAGGATTCAGGAACTGGATGGAAGGGCAAATTCCAGAAGCCAGGACACTGGGCAGGCCAGGGGAAAACAGGACAAGCAAACACTAGACACACAATACCACAGAACACCTAACCATCAGGGGCACAAGACCAGTGTTTCCTCTAGGTTTACAGCTTTTTTTGGTGGGGGGGCAGACGGACACACTGACAGGATTCATGCTGTTCATGTTCACGTCTGGCTCATTTATTGAGATCCGCATGCAGGCTGCAAGATGGTCTCCTTGCAGCCTATTGCAAAGGTTTCTCTAGACCTGCAAATACATTAACTGTTAGGCTTTAAATGTGATAGCTGATAGCTTAAAATAATGTAAAGCAGAAAATCCCATTGTGAAATGTATTTATTACCCTGTTCATTTTTGTCTGCTTTTCAGGTGGTTGACATCGACATATTTTCCGACGTGCGCTCTCTGTCTGCTGGTGGGAGTGTGCTCACCTGTGTGTGTGCACACGTGTCTGTGCGCGCGCATCAGGGCAGAACTCCGCCATGCGTGATACAGAGAGCAGAGGAGAATTGTAAACGCGCGACCATGTAGAGACAAAAATGGCAAGCTGTTGTGTAAATAAGATAACAAAAGGCTCTTTAGTTTGTTTAATAAAAGGACAATGTATAGACCTGTTCTATAGGAAAAGTAACCTTAAATGACTTCTGTTGTGATCTGGTGCTATATAGAAAATAAAATTAAATTAAATTAACGTGACCTTCAAGTGGGGGTGGGAAGTACCATTGGGGGGGCGGGGCACCCCCCTAATATACACTGAAGATAAACAAGACTCAGGACCACTGGGGCACCATGACCAAAATACAGCACAGGACTGGACACGTCACACAACAAGGGTACTGAACAGACTGGGGAATAACCAAGGAGTAGACGGGGGAAGTCTAACATCATACACATAAGGGTGGACAGAACAGATGGCAAGGCCAGGTATGTAACACAGAGGGATCCAAGAAAAACACAGAAGTTAACAGGGTTAACAACAAGTTAACAACAAGACAGGATAGACAGACTATCCTCTGGACAGCAGGGTTATGGGGGAACTGCAGGGCTGGAGGGTGCCTAGTGGCTGCCTGGGACAGTGACAGGAGGATGACACAAGACCTGCAGGATGGGAACAGAGACATGACCAGACAGAGGGAACAGGGAAGTAAGGACCACCATACTTGATGTGCCCCCGTCTCTCTTTCCAGGAGACCGACAATCGACCGGTTCGTTCCCTGGACCCCCACTGATATCGGTCACTCAGACCTTGGATATGACCTGAGTCTTGGAGTGAGGTAGGAACATCCCATTCTAGATCCTCTAATTGAGCATCCTCCAGGAACCCCTCGTCGGGGCTAGTGGCAGCCTGGAGTTTGGGTGCAGCTCCAAAAGTGCTTGAGCCAGTTGGTACAGGGTCAATGGTGGCCGGAGAGTCAGGTGCGGGGCTGGTGGCGACCATCAGGCAGCAACAGCAAGGTGAGGCAAGGCATACATCAGAGACACAGGCAAGTAAGGAAAAGCCAGCGAGATCGCTGAAGGCAAGTAGACAAAAGTTGTCTGGGCGATGACGGCCTCAGGAAGGCAGCCAGGAACAAGAAGTAACACTAAACAGACACCAGGTGTGGCTTGTTAAGCCACGTTAGGGAGAAAGAACAGACGGGGTGCGGCAACAGCACAAGTACTGTAGGACATGACAGTTTTATAATTTTAAAAACACAAATGAATAGTAATATATTAGCAACATAATTACAGATAATTATTTATTTTTAATGTAAATAAAAAGTGATGTAAAGAGACAAAATATGAACCATACCTCTGAAGAAATGCGAGTGTTCTGGCTGCTTCCACCTGATATTCAATGCTGAATAAGTGAAACATTAAGCTAGTAACAACACTACTACACACATTGCACCTGCTCTCCCGTTTCAGGCATATTTTTGAACATTTATTATTTTCAGCAGAGATGCTACAAAAATAAACTAATTTGCTTTGCCAATGCTGGAAATTTATCTTCGATGTAATATGTTTTACTGAATAAAAATCTTACCTAGCATGATTAGCCTTGGGCTGATGGGGAGAGACAACTGTTTCTCTGCATCAGCAGGAGTAATAGTCACCTGTGAATAGTGTACGAAAGAAAGAAATAGGGATTAAAATACACAAGAGATGACTCAAAGTAACCAGTTTATAACATTTACTTTTATGGTTAAATTATATTAATACCAATAATAGTAGTTATCGAATCTTTTCCCACTGGGTTTTCTTTTCTCCGAATATGATCCTGTCATTTGGCAATGAACTGAATAGCTAAAGATACAACAGAGGCTTTTGGGCACTTACATCAGCAAGGAGGAAAAGGCCTCTTTTAAGTATCACACCCTTAGAAGCACCACTGGTGCCTTCTCTGTCCTCTTTGAAAACTTCCTTCACAATAACTCTCACTTCCTTCCTCCACCTTCTCAACTAAATGCTAAAGAACTCAAGGATCCTCTTCCCCCATTTATTCAAATCTTCAATTTGTCTGTTGTAGTGAAAGTAAAAACCTCCAAGAAAGGAGAAATGGCCACTGCTTACTGTACTTATGTCCAGAATGCTGGTGGTGGATTTGCATTTATACCTTCTCACTGTTTCACATATGTAACTGCCATTAGCTCTGTCACGGACTGAGCGGTGATGGAGTACCAGTAGTGTGGATTCAGTGGAAGCCGGCATATACCATTGCTGAAAGAACATTGAATCACTGTTTGTATTAGATTGGGGACATCAGGAAAGGCCTACTGGCAATAGTCTGATTTAATAAGAACTCCATCTGTTTCTACAGAAATATGACAATGCATCCATTTGGCTGTTTACAGTATATGCATTTGAAGGTGAAGTTTTACAAATACATCTCTGTAATCTGTTGTGCACTCACCATCCAGGTTAAACTCCATTCTGTGTTTGACTCTGACCACGAAACCAGGAGGGTGGAACAAATGGGTATATTGCAAAAGGGGTATTTGCAGAAGCTTTTAAGAACAACCATTTGTACAGCTTATTGGGTACTAAAACAAAATAGTATGCTGTGTTTTAGCTTTGGGTTTAATGATTGTAGTAATAATTTCTGTAGGTGGTGTATTTTTTGTTTTGAGTTTATTTGTGGGTGGTGATTGGTGTGAGCTGAGGGGTGGCACTATAGCTCCCAGAAGGCTGTATTAGGCCACTGGCCTTAGTTTAGAGGGGGGGGGGGCAGCATGGAGCAAGGCTGGAGATGCTGGTGTAGAGGTAGGGGTCTAAGTACTGTTGCTCACACATCCATTGACAAATACACTTTTTTAAAATGAGTATTTTCTTTAATTGTATTTGGTAGAAATTATGTTTGGATTTAATTAGCAGTTTTGTACAGTTTAGTTATAATTGTATTTTAAGGGAAAGGAAGAAATAAAAGTTGCAGATTACTTTTGATCTCCTCATCTGCATCTTGTCATGTCGAGGGCAAGGACAGAGGTGAAGGCAGGCATGGGGAAAACCAAAGGGGGCTTTATTAAGGAAACAGTACTACATACAGGGCAAAGGAAATGAACCATGAGGGGTCAAAACTGGGTATGGAGCATCAGGCAAGAACACTGGACACAGGGCACACTGGGGAGCACATGCAGGCAGCAACATCAATAGCTGGACTAGAGATCGTAGGACTGAAAGACACTGAAGGACTGAAGGACACAGGGCACATGAGGGAGCAGACGAGAGGCACAACAGAGTGAATGAGGGGGAAAAGATGCAGGACATAACACTCTATCCGTTGTCCATCCCAACAAGCTCCTCTACCCTCCTTCTCTCTGCCCCCTTGAACCCCTCCTAACTGAATATATTCATCATCATTCACCATCATCATCAGCATTAGGTGGACTGTATTTAGATTTCCTCAGATGGGACCGTGTGTTGCCTCTACTGACATACACAATTCTGGTCTTCATCTGATTCAGTAAACTAAAATATTCACAGCCAATAACCTCTCCTTCTTCAGTTATACAGCGGGGAAAAGAAGTATTTGACACATCAGCATTTTTTATCAGTAAGGGGATTTCTAAGTGGGAATTTGACACAAAATGTCCACCAGATGTTGCCATCAAGCCAAATATTGAATTCATACAAAGAAATCAGAACATTTAAGAATACAAGTTGAGTCATAATAAATAAAGTGAAATTACACAGGGAAGAAGTATTGAACACACTTTATTTAATACTTTGTAGAAAAGCCTTTGTTGGTGATTACAGCTTCTAGACACCTCTTGTATGGAGAGACCAGTCGTCTGCATCACTCAGGAGTGATTATGGCCCATTCTTCCACACAAACGGTCTTTAAATCTTGAAGGTTCCTTGGGCCCCTTTTATGAACTTTGATCTTCAGTTCTCTCCATAGATTTTCTATGGGATTTAGGTCAGGTGATTGACTGGGCTATTCAAGCAACCTTCAAGAATACTTCTCCATCAGCTGACAAATCTGCAGCAACTGCGTGATGTAATCATGTCAACATGGACCAAAGTCTCTGAGGAATGTTTCAAGGACTTTGCCACAAAGAATTAAGGCAGTTCTGAAGGCAAAAGGTGGTCCAACCCAATACTAGCTAAGTGCACCTAGTGTAAGAAGTGAAGGACTGGAGTAATGTGTTTCTTCTTCGTGGTTCTAGCTGTAACAATAGGAACTTTTTTTTATCTGTTGCAACCCGGACCTATGTTGTTGTTCCATTTAGAGCGAGAGAGACTGGCTGTATGTTAGTAGTGTGCGTGCATGTGCCAGCGTTTAATAAAAATTGGTTACCTCATTTGAGCATCCAATATATTCAGAAGTCCGCTGTTCTGTTGTATACAGCTGCAGAACATGACAATAGCTAACATTCTAGCAGCAGCATTTTAAATGAGCTTGAGCCATCTTGGGGATTTTTTGGGATAGCTGCACAGGACTGTGCTGCAGTCATTCAATCAGCTGGAGGTGAAGGCATGAGTAAGTATTCACTTAGACATTAGGCCTCTTATTTCAGAGATGTTCTTAAGGTGATAAAGGAGGACTTAGTAATTGTCAGGACCTGTCGTCAGCCCGTCATGGCGCTGTTTGGCCAGCAGAGGTTGCTGGCCAATCCATAATCACCTAATTGTCGTATCTGTCTATAGTTTGTAATTAGAAGCCTATTATTATCATTCTACCACATATAACAAAATTGTAGTGCAGCTACCCCTTCAGATACAATGAAGAGCAAACATGAAGATACAATGAAAAAACAGATACTCAATCATTTACACGGTGATTATAGAAAGTACTACAAATAAATACTACTGAATAAAAAGTATATAAATATGTGTACATAATATGTATATTGCACAGAGAGCATATATTGCACTAAGCTGTGTTTTTAAAGAGGAGAAATTATTGCAAATCCATAGAAGAGGTGGGGGAGGGGAGAAAAAGAGAGAGACATAGAGAGAGATGGTCAGTGCATAATAATAATTGACACTTTATTGATCCCCGTGGGGAAAATGTCTTTACGCTTCCCTCAAACTGGTCTTTGTAGAGTAAGCTGTCTGTGAATGGCAGCCTGTTGCGGTGCCCAGGGAGCTGGGGGTTAAGGGCCTTGCTCAAGGACCTGCAGATGTGCTGAGGGTGGGTTTGAACTGGCACCCTTGAGATTACAGGCACACAGGCTCAGCCCACTGAGCCACACACTGCCCCTAAAAAGGATGCTGCCCAACATGGGGCTCGAACCCACGACCCTACCGGCTGAGCTAGCTGGACTGTTATGGCGCATGGAAAGAAGCTGTCCCTGAGTTTGTTTGTCCTTGGTTTGATGGACATGTAGCACCTACCAGAGGGTAACACGCCGAAGAGCAGGTGGAATCCAGGATATGTGGGGTCCTTCAAAATGTTTGTGGCCCTGTCAAGGCAGCGGAAGGTGTATAAATCTTTTAGGCAGGGCAGAAAGCAGCCAACGATGTTCTGAACTGCATTGATGACATGCTGAAGCCCCCTCCTCCCTTCTTCAGTGCAGCTCCTGTCCCACACTGTGATACAGTATATCAGCCTTATGGAGAACTGGTGCTGAGTAAGTGAGTGGAGGAGAAATGGGGCCAAATTTCACTATCTAATGTTGGTTGGTGAGAAAGTCCTTTATCCTAGTGCAGGAGAGAGTGAGGGAGGCCCAAGTCAGACGGTTTACCAACTAAGGTGTCCGGGATGATTGTATCGAAGGCTGAGCTATAGTTAATAAAAAACATCCTCACATAGCTTCCTCAGAGTTCCAGGTGGCTCAGGGCAGTGTGGAGAGCTATGGTTATGGCTCCTTCAGTGTACCGGTTTGCTCTGTAAACAAACTAGTGCATGTCGAAGGTAGGAGGAAGGCAGGCTTTGATATGGTGTGAAAGCAGCCTCTCGAGGCACTTCATGACAAGAGATGTAAGTGCTGTTGGGCAGCAGTCATTGAGGCTGTCAGTGGCTGTTTTTTTTGGCTGCGGAAATGATGGTGGCCGACTTCTGACAGGGTGGGATGAAGTTATTAGTTATTAGCGTATATACAGTATGTGCCTGCCCTTACCAAAGTCCCCAGTTCGATCATTGTTGCTGTTACTGCATATGCTACCTCATGGTCCACATTTGCTATTTGTCTGGATTCTTCAATAAAGTCCCTAAGCTTTCATGCACAATCTGGATGAAATCTGGCATCTTGATCGTTAACTCCTTCCCTTTCCTACCAACATGAGAATATTCTTAATTTTCTGGTCGAAACTGAGATGCTGGAGAATATCTCTAAGAAGTCATCCATAGAAGTGGCAGAGTACTTAGGAGGCCTGTATACAATTACAAGTGCTATTTGTGCTGTAGTATTTATCACAGTGTGGAGATATTCAAAGGAATCATAATCTCAAGATTATATTTGCTTGCAGAAGAAAATTTCCTGAAATAAGGCCACTGCACCACCACCTCTCCGGTTAACTCTGGAAATCTCAATTTAGGGGTACTGATTCAATGAGGGTTGTTACGCTGCAGTTCTGATCTAACTATGTTTCAGTTAAAAATATAAATCTTAAATGCGCTTATGAAATTATTAATCAAAAACGCTTTGTTACTCAGTGACCGGACAT